TTTTTAAACAGTGCAAACCTTTATCCTTTTACAGTTTATAAGCAGACTGACGTATATTCGGTTCTTGCTTTGAACCCATTTCTCACACAAGTTCTTCTGTTCATGTATACTCGATGCCCAAAACAGCAGCCATTCTTCGGTGGAAACAAGTAAATATGATTTATCTAAACTGTTAAAAGCATGGGCTGTTTTGCATGGGATAAGTGTTTCAGTTTGCTTTGTTTTCTGTCTTTGGCAATGGCTCTGTACCAGATGTACTGGAGAAAGACATAACAGCACGTGTAATGAGCTGTTACGGAACAGCTTTCCCACAGATGGATTTTCTCAATGCATCTTCTTCATCAACAGTCTCCTAAAGGCAATGTAAACTGTTGAGAGAAGGTACCCATAAACATTTAGGCATGACTGCATCACCTCCTGCCTGGTAAAGACTGTGTGCCCAGTTGAGATATGAATACATTGGCCTTCTCCATTGGCACTCCTTGGAATGGTGCTTCAGTCAAACGATCCCACTATGTTGCAGCCGGTAACCGGCTGTTACCACAAACACGAGGGCAGCTGTTTTATGTAGAGTGATGGAGAGTTGCTTTAGCTCATATGGTTAAGGTTGGAAAGACTCCAGTCTCTGTTTCCTGGTCGAAATTCTGACTGAGGCTGTGTATTATATTTGAAGTGACTATATTTTGATTACTTTAATTAAAATATTTTTATATATGAAGAAGAGCATCATTTGAAGAATAAAAAAGTAAATAATAACAATAAAAGATAAGGAACCCTTCAACCACTCTCCAGCTGAATCAGAAGAATTGTTATTAGTTAGCTGCTCACAAGCTTTTGTTAAGCATTTGATATCCACTGGAAATCAGCTCGAGATCAGTACCCTAGTTGTAGTCACTGAGTGTCACACAAAATACAGGCTGGAGCCCTTTTTTCAGAATTGAAGATGCCAACGATTTACCAGTCACACAGCAAACTCCTCCCCAGGCGTGTTTGCTGTGCTTGTTGTAGAGCTTCTCTCTGTAGACTCGTCGTCCCATCCCAGTGCCTTTTGACAGGAGATTGATTTCTACTTTTATTCCCTTTGGGATGACTGCAGAAATAACTGCAATCATTCCTGCAAACCCCTCTGATGTTCTTGTGGTCATTTTTAGATCCTGGAAGTAATATTTTTAAGTATTGTTGGGTCTTGTGTTCATATCTTCTGGGTTAAAACTTCATGCTTCTGTATAAGCTTAACCTTTCTATAAATAACGCAGTTCAAAAGAATGCTTATGAAATGGCTGACTTGCCACATTTACTTGTTGCTTTCTGGGCAACAGATTGGGCATGAGATCATGGGAATTTACTGTTCTGGTTATGAAAGCCGAGCTGGTTGGAGAAGGGTGCCATTGGTATTTGAATTGGTAGCTGAGCACTTGAAGAGAAACCTACTTTTTTAAAAAAAACATGCAGTGGTGCCCAGCTCCGTGAGCTAAGCTGTTGCCCAGCACATTCTTGAGCTCTTTGCTGCTGGAGTAGCCTACTGGCCCATAATTTACGTAAAAGATAGTTTCCTGTGTCTTAGAAGTTGCAAAGTCTAGTGGCAGTAGGCTTTTAGCCTTGAAACGAGGTGGAAGAAGAGGAGGAAACAGTGAGTTCAAAGCTGGAGGCAAAGGTAAAGTCACTGCTGTGGATTTCTTCTTGAGGATTTCGGGTATTATCTTTGTTGCCGATGTTCCTTCCCTGTTTCTCTTACAAACTTGAGATACGTATGTTCTGGTGAGGTCTCTCCCTCAGGGGAGAAGGTGCAATGAGTTGAAGGCTGGTGATCATAAATACATATTTGGGGTATCAGGATGAAACTGAAGTGTCCTTTTCAAAAAAAAAAAAAAAGAGGAATGCAGAAATCTAGGTGGGGCTGTGAAGGAACCGCAGAAAAGTGGTTTGGGAAAACCTGAGTCAGCTTGATGCTGTTGAAGCCCATGGGAAATGGCTCTTGGACGATAGTGAAGATAATGAGGAAGGAATGCCAGAAAGATTATAAAACTTGAATAAAAAGTAGTCAAGTATATGCTTGCTGTGGCTCCCATCCACGGGCTGCTGTACAGTTGGACTCTGTACAGTTCTGTATTTTGTTTAAAATATTGACACTTCATCTTTTATTTTCAGTAAGCCATGACCTTGGATTCCTTTTTCACAGTATGAAAATTTTACAGAAAAATTTTGGGTTGGGTGTGTTACCAATATATTTTCTCCACAGCTGTCCGATACCTGAATTAGTTCACAGATTTATGTCTAGCAGCAGCGTGTCTTAAGTCTATACTTATGTTGCAAGTAAAACTAAAAGCAAACAAATTTAGGAGGGGTAAGAGGAAATATGAACAAGTGCATTCTTGTTTCAGGGTTACAGGAACTAGGAGTGTCCTGTGTTTCATTTGTTACTTTAACAGAATCATCTTACTCATCTTCATCAGCTCTGTAGGTCTTGTTCTTACTACCCTTCTGTGTCTCTGTGAGGCATTTCCAGAAGGGTGTTTGTGTGTTGAGGTGGAGCAGGACTTGTGAAGTTCTCCTTGCCTATTAAATAAAAAAACTCTGATTTCTTTAGCAGACTTCTTGGTTCTCTTGCCATGAAACTGAGGCATTTTGTCTAGCTGTAGTGGCAGCTACTTCTTGCTCTTTGGCATGACCTTCCCCTGGTTCTGGGCTGTGTGTTGCAGGCAGAGGTGGAAAGGGGCAAAAGGAGTAGTGTTTTGCAGCTGGGATTGTGCCTTTCGGGCAGACCTTGTGCTTGCCAAGTCCCTGTGTCAGTAAGTCCCCACCTCTCTTGCTTCATGGCCCACATACCACACGCTTCCTCTGCATCATGAACCAATGTTTGGTATCCCACATCTCAACATTTGCTTTAATTGAGGGTTCTGCTCTAGCTGAGTGCATTGAAAGAATCTCAGGTTTACTTAAAAGAATTTAGGACTAGACAGTGTAATGCGTTTTTGTTGTGGTGTTTTTGTTTGTTTTTTTTTCAGAATTAATTTTCCCTGTCTATCTCTACCCTCCTCCAAGGTGGTTCTGGATGAGGGCAGCTGTCAGACCATAAGTGATGAATTATAATGGGCTTTTTAAAGAAAAGGGATGTTTAGGGGAGTTCTGGGTATTTGCTTACTGTGTGGCTCTAGCGAACCAGCTCTGCAGCATGCACTGAGCTGACGATGAAGGCGCTGCCTGATGTGCAGCAACTGGGCACATAAGGAGGAAAAAAAACCCACAACATGAAGGAAGGTGGTGGAAACTTGCCTTTGCATATAACCCGAAACGCATGGTAATCGATTGCAGGTGCTCTCGACCTGTGGGTTGTAAACAGAAATCAGGAAATTGCAACTGCACTGCCCTTCCTGTGTTGCAAAACAGCAGGGAAGGGAGAAGCCTGGGAACCACTGCTTGTTGGCTTCCGTTGCACGAGAAGGCAGCTGTGTCACCTGTCCATCACTTCGCTAGTAGGTCTGGTGCGGGACCAAGAGGGCTGTGAGGGTCATTTTTGTTTCTTCAGCTCCCTCACTTCCAGTGTACACAAGCAGATGGGTGCACGTACACTGGTGGTTAATTCTTCCCAACCACCCCCTCGCAAAAGAAAAGCGAGGTGCTTGCCTTGGCCAAAACAGTGCGTCTGTTCTTAAAGGCTTTCTTGGGTCTCAGAGGCATGTATTTGGGTATAAATGATGGTACTGAGTGTCAGGTTTACAAAACAAAAGAAAAAAAATCAGGAGCTGTACCAATGTAGATTTCAAAGCTGACACTCTTGGCTTGTTGCACAAGAACTAGTAAAACTCAGCTTCCTAGTGATGCTGCTCATTTAAAAGTCTGATAAAACACATGAGGTTATTTCCCTGGGTGATGTAAGCTAGTGATCAGGGGCTCTGAAGAAGTGGAAAGCCATCTTCATTAATAAAAATTCACTTTGGTAGCTGTCATATCTGGTTTAGAAGCACAACTGGAAATGGGGGGGGAAAAAGGGGGATTTTTTTATTATTAAAAATGACTGGATGAGCACATCTGCCTTTTGTAAAACACAACTGACTCCTCATGTGGTGAAGTGAAAAGAGTCAGCACCTCTGGCCGAGAAAGAGGACAGTGATGTGGGAATAAGGGCCTCTGTTTAAGTCTGTAAACAGCAAATGAATCAATTGGCACTGGTGGAAGCAAAGGTGGTTGTCAGGTATCTTGCTGGGTGGTGGGTGCTTCTGATGAAGGAATGTCTTATAAAGCAGCAGGAGGCTTTATCGGCAAGAGTCAAACACTGTTGGCAGCTGGCATTGTGCACTTGTTAACGGTGGAAGCATCTGCAGAATATTGATCTGAATTTTTCATTTGTGTGCTGCTCCCCATAGGGTTTGGGCCCTCAGTCTCCCTCCTCTGAACAAGTTTTCATGTTCTGAGTAGGGAAATCAAAGGTGTTTTGTGTGATGATAAGCTACTGAGCAAATGGGGTGCCTGGAGGTGCCTCATTAGTTACTTCTGATTGATTAAGCTATGTAGCCATCTGTTTTCTGGCTCCTGTCAGACAGAAAGGTAGTAAATGCAGTCCTAATCTGCAGTGAGTTTGGTAGAAGTTTCCTGGGATAAATTATTGTCTTCCTCAGAATCGGATGGGGAACAGCAGGTGAGGAGGAGAATGGTTCATTCCAGAGAAGTGGAGATATTCTCCCCTGTTTGGTTTCCAGGGAGCAAGCAGGAAGGGCTCTGCACAGCTGTGGCAGTAAAAGCAATGGCTTGGTTGCTCTAAAATTGGTGTAAGTGAGCTAAATTCTTTGTTTGCATCCCTCAAGTGGTAGTGTCTTGTCTCACACTATGATTTCTACTTGCCTACACAAAACACACCTTTACAGAAACGTACAATAGCTATCCTAAAATTAGAGCAAACTGTGATCTTGCTGTTGAAACAGGAGGCTCTGTTTTGCTGGTTTATGTGTGCATTTGTGAAAGAAAGAGTCTTAAAACTAAAACTTTCCTTGTTGTTCTTCCAGACACAGTTGAGTCCATGCTTTCAGACTACGACATCCTTTCGCAGTCTAGCATCCAGCAACACTCACTGAAGAAGAGGGACCTCCAGCCTGAGACGCACGTGGAGAGACTCTTAAGTTTTTCAGCCCTGCAAAGGTAATCAAATAATCTGCAGTGAAATAGTGTAATATTTTCCTTCAATTTGTGATAAATAATATGCAGTTCCAAACCCAGAAATAGTTATCTTGTTTTCTGTCATGACTGGCCAGTTCTTGTAAATTAGTGATCTGCACACTTATATGACTTCAGAGAGGCTCAGAGGAAACCGAAAAATAACTTGTCAAGCATTGGAACAGGCTGCCCAGGGAGGTGGTGGCATCACCATCCTTGGAGGTATTTCAAAGACATATAGACGTGGTGCTTAGGGACATAGTGGTTTAGTGGTGGGCTTGGTAGTGTTCGTTTACCAGTTGGACTTGATGATCTTCAAAGTCTCTTCCAACCTAAACAGTTCTATGATTCTAAGTTGAATTGCGTTGTATTGCTCTGTTTGATGAGGTGGCAGTGACTTTTTTTAAGATTTCTTTTGCTTCATTCTTAGCTTTAGTTTCGTGTAGATTAATTCCACTGATTGGATTGGATCCCGCTTACTACCTCATCTTGGCAACATAGTCATACGTCTGACCTGTCCTCTGGTTCTTGAAAATCTCTTTGTTCTTGAAAATCCCCTTCAGTTTGAGGACTGTGTGTGGTCTGTTGCCCGAGAGTTTTGTTTTGTTGGTTTTTTTTTTCATGGAGGTTTAATCCTCTTCCTACTGAGTGTATGCTTCCCATTCAATAAAACACTTCTTTTAATATCTTTTTCATTTTTACAAGATGGGAAATAGAAGCACAAGTGAAAGGGGAAGAAGTAGAAGAGAGCAAGCACAAAGGTTGTAGAGATGCTATTCTGTGTGTCAGAAAAGTGCCTGACATGTATCCGAGTGCTGAAATTGTGAATCTGAAATGGAGGAGCAGGGTGAGAATAATGCTTTGTATTAACAAGTGTAGGTTGGTCTTGTTCATCTGACATCTTTGTGCCTTCTCCATCTGTCACTTATAACTGCAAGTTGCTGTGAATATTTTTTAAATCTCTAAATGTTTGGAGGTGGGTAGCAAGTATAAAAGGTTAATGGGATCAAATGTCTGACTGTCCCTGTTCTGCACTGCCTCATGTACCCCGACTCTATGGTGAGGTTGCAATACTGCCAATGATAATTACAGAATAATTGCAGAGAGTCATACCAAAAATTTTTAACTCAAAGCCCACATAAATCAAGAGCCCATGGGACTCCTTCTAGAGAAGGTTTTCTGCTTACTTCTGGGATAGCCTTTAGTTTTTGTGACACTATGTCATAAGAGTCTGCAGAGTTCGGATTTCTGTTTATGGTCTTCTGACTGTATTTTTTTCAGAAAATAAGAACTTTAAGATAATTTAACTTAAAATAGATGGACACTTGGTCTGATTTTCTTTAAATAGTTACTGGTAACTGGTTTTGCTTGACTGCATATGGAGAAAGTGCATCATGAGCAAACTGTGACTGTTTTGGGGATTTGAGTTTATTTTTACTTTTTTTTTAATTAAACATCTTTAACAGTTTAAAAATGTCTACAGTTACGAATTACACAGTATATGGTTTTTGTAGCTTACTTGTCAGAGTTAATACTTTCTAACTTCTTTGGCACTCTCAGTAAAATGAAGACTGGATGTGTCTGTTGTGTGTATAATTTGCTTAAAAATAAATGGAAGTAAATTCTTTTACAGGCACTTTAAATTATACTTAACTGCAACTGCTGAACACTTTTCAGAAAAATTTCAAGCATTAATTTTGGATGGTGAAGGCAAAGAAAAGGAGTATCGTGTTCAATGGCAAGACTTTTTCACCGGACATGTCGTTGGTTAGTATGGACTAGAGTCTGTGTCAATGCTGAGAAAGCACAGCTTTGCATGAGTCTCTTGGCCAAAGTAAATGGTGTTTTGCCCTCATTTTCATCAGATATGGTTAGGATGAACAAGTAAACTTAATTCTCATGTGCTTTGAGTTTTCTGGTTTTGTTTTTGTGGGGTTTTTGTGGTAGGTTTGGGGTTTTGTTTTTTTTAGGTTTGGTGGGTGGTGGGGTTTTTTTGAGCTATTGTGCTGAGGTTCTAAGATAGGACTCTTCTGTTTAGTTTGGCAGAACACAAAGGTATAATTTACTCAAGCAGCAGCTTGTGATTTTATTTTTTTTTTTAAATGATGATGGTGGATTTAATTCCCACTGGAATGTGGAACTTCAGTGTTCCTTGTCCCAAAACACAAAGCCCAGGTAGGTAGTGGTGATGCAGTGTTGCCCAGCTTGTTAATTAAAAGACTTTAAGATGGTTCTTTGCAGACTGCTTTTCTGTAAAGAAAGGGTATCTTCCTCCACTTTAGTCCAACACTAGTGCTTCCACTGAGTTGTTTTGATTTTTACATTGCCTTTGTGCTGTGGTGAAAGTCTTTTCCACTGGAATGGAGGCCGACTCCATGAAACTGCTGTCTGATATTAGCAATACGCAAGCTGCTTTTGTTGGCAGAAATATTCTGTGTCCCATTACTAATCCCCACAGCCATCTCGACACCTTCTGCAAAATCATCAGTTAAATCTGAGTCTTGATGACTGTGACCATTGGGTAGTTAAGGTTAGGAGGGAGTGCTGGTTCATTTCCTTTTTTATTTAAACTGGACAGTATAGTGTTCTTCATGAACGGAGGAAGGTAATTTGGCTGGAAATCTAAAAACAGTTAAAAAACCCCGAAACAGTGTCTGTACAGGAGTGCGTGCAAATAGAGCTGAATTAATTTCTTTTTTCCTTGCTTATATTAAAGGAGAGCATAATTCCAAGGTTGTGGCACATATTGGGGATGAAGACTTTACAGTGAGAATCAGTACTGATGGAGAAGAATACAATATAGAGGTATGCTTCACTGCTGAAAACAATATTCAAACAATGATCTCTTTTCCCTGTGGGTGTTTCTAGTTAGTCACATTGACACCTCTGTAGCTCAAAATAGACTTGGTGGTGGTGGTTGTTTTGGGGTGAGTAGGGAGGAGGGGAAAGAAACGTGAAACCAATTTGACTTTCGCAAGTGTTGAGTTTTATTAGTGAGTGACCTTCTCTGACATTTGCATGTTTTAGATACGTCAGGGAGAAGGTATGTTTTAAACAGGAAAGGGTTTTAGAAACAGGAATGGTATAACCTTAGTAATTAGTGGTGATCATGTCCTCTAGAATAACAAACTGTGCGGCCTTCTGAGCAGAGTTGGAGTCTGTTGAGCTTTCTAAAATTTTGGCTTTGTTACATCTTGGAATTTTTCCCATTCTTAGAGCTTTATTTGAAAATCTGGTATTTTTCCCTGCTCCCTTGTTTCTGTTTTTCACCATTTTCATTGCTTGTTTTATTTTAAACTATTGATTTAAAAAAAATATTCAACAAATATGTAATTAGAGACTATCCTAATGAGTTGTTCAGTGCAGTATATTCCCAGACACAAGCTGTATTAGAATGACTGAATAACAGTAATTGTGGCTGAGTGTTATATGGGTATTGTAATTGTCTTCAAACCCCAGGATATGCAGAATTATGGATGAACCTGGGAAATCCAGTCATGTTAAAGTATGAAAATGTGATTGGAATACCCAAACCGCTGTGCTGGTGTTTTGCATTAAGAGCATATAGTAGCCATTTGATTGTGGCGTAAAGCATTTCTGTGTTTGTGGTCCAGAGTAACGTAAGTACATCTCAGTTCCCCATGCAGCCAACTCCCTTGCTCCTCCTTGGCTGTTTCTGTATAGCTAAATAAAGGCAGGCAATGGCTTGAAGACTCCAACTTTCCCACACTGCCTGTCTGTTACCATCCCAGGGTCAGCTTTGGCCCCTAACTAGCCCTGGATGAGATGATGCCCATGTGCAGTCAGAGGTGATGCGTGCCAGAGACTGTTCCCAAAAGGCAGCACAGACACAGCCAGTCTGCTGTTGCCTTCCTTTGTTTTCATGATCCTCCTGCACTGTTTGGAAAGGTTGAAGACGTTCATAAAACCCCTGGTGCCCTCGTGCTTGCCCTAGGATGCAAAACATGTGCCCTCAGTTTTGCATTGTAGACACATGGTTGCAGGGCCAGCACAGCCTTTGCATTTCAGGACCTTTTTGCTGTGAATTGAAAGCACAGTATGGTAAATAATAGTTGTCTGAAGCTGAAAGGCCACTGCCTAAGGGCCAGAGGAGGCCTAGACCCAAGTGTTCTGCAGTGTGGACACGGATGGTCTGTACTTCTTGGCCTTACCCAAAAAACAGACCTTGGCCGTGTTGTATTTGGTAGTGTTGCTGTAGCTGTTACATGCAGATAATAATAGGGATGTGTCGGTAAAGAAAAAAGATGGTCAGTATGCATCTGCTGTGGGAATTCTTGTCTTACGCTGTGATTTCATGGTTTTCTTGTTTTCTTTGGTTTTGGAGAAATTTTCATGCTTAAGTGACTTGGATAGCTATTGACGGTTAAAGAGCCTGCCTTCTGCTGTGAAGACTGCGTCCTGCTGTACACTTAGATATTCTCTGTTATCTGCCAGCTCCTGTGCTTCTGGTCAGTGCCTTCGTTAGCGTAGTCTAAGCATCTCCTCCCTGCCAGTGTGGTCTCCATACTGTTACGGAGGGAGCAGAGAAGCCTGAAATGCCTCCTCAGCTTGCTTATATTCTGGAGGGAAAGGAAAATTCTCTCTTCTACAGCCTTACCAGGTGGCTGCTGCTGCTCTGTTGAGATGATCTTAGATTGTTTGAATGCCTGTGTAGCGTAAGACATGAATTCTGTTGGCTTTCTTGGGGCTGTTGTTTTATCAGTAGACGTTGCTGTGGGTGAAATTATCGTGATCCAATGTATTAGTTTGTATGTACACATAGAGCTGTGATGATTTGATGGTACATACATGTAATTTTTTACTTATATGGACTTAGTCTTTACATTCGCTGTGCTCCTAACTAATTTCATTTCTGTTCTTCTTGTGCTGCCAGCCACTGTGGAGATTTGTAGATAATGTGCAAGATGAAAGACTGCTGGTCTACAGATCTGAAGATATTAAAGATTTCTCACGACTGCAGTCCCCCAAAGTGTGTGGTTATTTAAAGCTGAACGAAGAAGAACTGTTGCCAAAAGGGCTGGAAGATAGGGAGCAAAATGAAGGTGAGTGTCTGTGCCTGGGAGAGCAGGACCTTTGAAACGAATGCTTGAATTCTGGCTGCGTAGGCAAGTAAGGTCGGAACCTAGGCAATCATCTGTATTGTGGCTTCTAGTTTAACTACTCACTCTTCAAAGTCGTTAGTGTGGGGAAGCGATATTCCTCTTCATGCCTGCTCCCCATCCAAAAAAAACCCCAACAACTGAAGAAAGGAAGAAACTGTTACTAGGGGCATATTTCTTTCTGGCTTGTTGAAAAGATGTTTTGCCCTGCTAAAGTATAGGCTGAGGAGAAGAAGCTGTTTCATCAGGCCTAAGTAGTGTTTGTTGTGATAGCTGGCAGCAGTGTAGGCAAACATTAAAACAACTTCTGTGTGCTGTGCAGCAGGACCTGTTGGGCCTTGGTGGTCGTTCCAAGAGTGTATCTTGAGCTGTGATGGATTTTGAGAGTTTTGGGTCCCTTTGTCCTCAGCTGTGCAGCAGAGATGGGGATAATGACTAGGAACAGGAGGAGGAGAGGTGTTAAGGCTGAGATGATGACCATAAAAGCTCTGTGGGTAAATCTGTTGAATAGCTCAATTTCACTACTGTACATTCTTTTCCTTACAACGAGTTTAAGGACTGTTATGAAGACAAAATTTAAGAGTAATTATTTAGAAAGAAACAACAACTAAACAAAAAGACAAATGCAAAACCAAACATCCCCCGTTTTCCCCAAAAACCCACCCAAACTTGTGTTCATGTCTTAGATATGGATAATAGATGCAGCAGTGACTATTTTATTTAGTGTTTATTTAGTTGTATTTAAAATGTTCACGTTAGCAAGCATCCATCGGAAGAAAAGAGCTATTCCAGAGAACTCCAAAAACACGTGCAAGATGTTGGTAGTGGCAGATCATCGTTTTTTCAAGTATATGGGCCGTGGGGAAGAGAGTACTACTATAAACTATTTGGTAAGTAAATATACTGTTACAATTTGCTGGAGTAAATGGAGGAAGAAAATAGTGATTCAGTAGTTAAAACAACATACAGCTTATGTCTCCCCTTCCTTCTTCCCTCAGCTTGATGTGCTGAGCATGACGTCGTATGGCATGGAATATCCCTTTGGTCAGTTGGGGTCAGCTGTCCCAGCTGTGTCCCCTCCCAACTCCTTGTGCCCCCCCAGCCTGCTGGCTGGTGGGGTGGGGTGAGAAGCAGAAAAGGCCTTGGCTCTGTGTCAGCACTGCTCAGCAGTAACAACAACATCCCTGTGTTATCAACACTGTTTCCAGCACAAATCCAAACCATAGCCCTGAACTAGGTACTATGAAGAAAATTAACTCTATCCCAGCCAAAACCAGGATAACTGCTTTTCTACAACATATGTGGAAAACATACAACATAGAACATGATGGTTGTGTGTGCATTTTACCTGGAAAAGAGCTAAATCATGCTTTAAAATATTTTCTATTGGTGATACTCTAGTTAAATAGTCTTCAAGTTTCATTTATAAACAAGTCCCTTCGCTTCACATGCTTCTTGTGGCTATGCTATTTTGTGCTTAAGAAATTTGTTTTTCCAGTTGGAGCTTTAGAATCTCCTTGGTTCTGAATTCCACTGCAAGTGATCTAAGCATCTTTAAAGTGCGAGCACGTTTAAAGCTTATATGAGAAGCAAAAGCAACTTGTATAGGGTTGGGGTTTTTCAAAATTTTCCAGGATTCTCTGTCCAGAACAAAATTGAAGCAGGTGTGGTAAACAATTCGTTTGGTTGTACATGGGTGTTGTGGGTAAACTCCCGCAGGCAGCTCAGCTCCACCCAGCCACTCGCTCACTTCTCCCTGGTGAGGTGGGGGAGAGAATTAGAAGGGTAAAGGTAAGACAGCTTGTGGGTTGAGATAAAAAGAGTTTAATAGGTAAAGCAAAAGTTGTGCGCACAAGCAAAGCAAAATAAGGAAATAATTCACTGCTGCCTGTCAGCAGGCAAGCGTTCAGCCATCCTCAGGAAAACAGGACTCCATCACTTATACTGGTTACCAGGTAACACAGCCAAAACCTGTACAATGGTGTTGTCTACCTGACAAGTTTTTGTGAAATACAACTCCTGCCCACTGCCTTTCAGCAGAAGTGGAGAGTATGGGTTTGGGGATTCAAGAGAAAACCAAATGAAACTACTTTTGGAGGCCTGTTGTTTGTCAAGAGTCTCTTTCGGAGCCTGGGTCTTTGAAATGCTAATCACTCTGTTCCATCTTTGCTGGCTTTTTGACCTTTCTGTCCCCAGAAATGTTTACATTCCCCAGGTAATGGAGCCTCAATTCATGTATTTGCAGAGATGCTGTTATCTCAGCATCTGACATATGACTCTTCCAGGCTAACCTACTTCTGTGTTTCCTGGGTAGATGTATGCTGTAAACAACACAGTGATTGGAAAACTAAAGCATGAACTGTTAGTGAGTGGCTCTGAATGTCAGCTTCTCCTTCTGAGCAAGTTTGATGGTTTATGTTTAGTAGAAGGTGGTTTTTAAGGAGAACAACTTGAAAAGGGAGATATTGATAGTGAGCACTGAAGAGAAACTTTCTGGAATCTTATCCCTGAAGCATAATGTGGAAAATAACAGGGTTTTGGCTGGGAGATGGAAACAGGCCTCAGGGTTCAGTTAAACTAGTTAAGTATGGTGCTAAAACAAAGCAGTAAAAACAACTTTCTCCTCTGCCATTCCCCTCAAAGAAACCTGGAAAACTAGGGTATGAACAAAATGTTTCCCAAGATTTCTTGTTCTTAATGTTATTGCTCTTCCACTACACAAATGAAAGTGATAAATGGAAAAGTTTGTATTGCTTTTTATGATGGAAAATTTTCAGGGATATTTGCTAATGCTCTCTGGATCTGAGTGCTGTTGGGTTTGGATCAGAGAGTATGTCTGTTATGTTATATGAGGTTCAATTTTATTTTGAAGTGAGTGTTTCTTAATAAGTATGTTTCAGCTTCCCTGAGTGTCTTGAACTTTATTACATGAAAGCTCAGGACTAAATAACTTGTTTTTCTTCTCTACGTAGATTGAATTGATAGACAGAGTAGATGACATCTACCGAAATACTTCCTGGGACAATGGAGCCTTCAATGGGTACGGCATACAGATAGAGCAGGTATTCACTGAGCTATGCAAAGGGTTTCTAATTTAAAGGGGAAGAACATATTTTGGATATCAGGGTTTCTGATTATTTTATCTGGATTAGAGCTAAAATAATCAAATCCTACATTATTGACTCCAGCCAGGAGCACTCTGAAATAGCACCCATTTTCAGTTCCTCGCAGCTTTGAGACAAGAGTTTTCAGGGAGAATCTTTTCCTATTTAATCTCAATTCAAAGGTGCTTTTTTTTTTTGCCCCCTGAGTATAAGCCATCCTTGTTTCTGTCAGACGTACTCTTATTCATGTATTTAATGTTTGTGTCTATGGGTAGTGCTTAGCTTACAAAGCCTGAGTGGGCCTCAAACACAGATTAAAAAACACTAATCCTGCCTGAAGAGCTTTAATGACTCCCCTTAGACATCATGATGTTATGATAACCTAGAGGCTGGTATAGGGTGGACACAGGGGATGTAGTAACTTCAGTTTATATGTTGGCACCTGAAAGCGCACAGAAATCTGGAAAAAGGCATTAAAAAGAAGAGGAATACATTGGCTCTGAGTGCTGAAAGAGCTGTGATGTGAAACGGGAAGTCGTGGTACAAGCTAGCTGCCCCTTTGCTGGGAAGCGGTTTGCAGGAACAAGGAAGGGAGAGTTAATTGGGCAGGGAGGGGGAAAGAACACGATGCACTAATTCCAGGTTACTGGGATAGTAGCAATCCTTTAAAATATGTTTTGGTTAGCTAGAACTCTGAAATGGTTTGGGGCTATTTGCACTAGATGTAAATCCTGGTTGAATTTGGGTGGGTTTTTTTGATAGAGTAACATGCATCTCCAAGCAGAATGTTACATTGAAAATTGTTGATGTTGCTCTATAAAATGACTGGTGTAGTTACTTATGATGTAGTCGATGTATCTTAAGTAGCAGAGGCTGAAAAGTTAACATTGGAAGCATGCTGAGTCTGAATTTTTCTCCTTGCAGATCTATTGAGACGTTTAAGATTACATTGAAAGCTTTTCTGTAGCTATAAAACTGACCAAAATTCCTCTACATTGTTGTTACCCTTTTTGAAATGTAGATTATCATCCACAATGAGCCAAATCACGTAAAACCTGGAGAAAAGCATTACAATATGGCAAAAAGTTACCCAGATGATAAGAAAGACGCCTGGGATGTGAAAATGCTGCTAGAGGTAGGTTGTAATCCTTGAAAAATTGTGCCCCTTACTGAGAAGTACTCATACTTCTCTACTTCCTTCACATGATGTGTAGATGTTGTGCACAGTCAAACTAGCTGATGTGCCCTGTAGCCCATAGTAAAGGGCTCTATTGCATAATTAGAGAGCACACACCAATTAGACAACTTAATATGTGGCCTGAGTCAGAAAGGCAGTCCTGATATGTCTGGCCCTGAGACGGGCTGCCTTGTGACCTTCATCAGATTATTGTACTTGGTTTTCCCCTCTGTGAAAAGGTGAAATGAATAGACAAGTTATGTAAATGAATGCGTACAATGTACTTGGGTATTCATGTAATTTTCTGCAGCTCCATAGGACAGCTAACAGCTACTTCTTTCTGACTTAACCAGATCTAGAAGGTGCCTGTCTGGCTCGTTAGATAAATGTTCTTATCTGTAGACTTCTAATATGCACTGTGAAGTGTCTTACAAAGATTTGACCTTTTTTTTTTTTTTCTTTAAAGCAATTTAGCTTTGATATTGCTGAGAAGGCAGCTCACGTGTGCCTTGCTCATCTCTTCACATATCAAGATTTTGACATGGGAACACTTGGATTGGCTTATGTTGGCTCTCCCAGAGCTAACAGCCATGGTGGCATTTGTCCTAAAGGCAAGGATTCCTTTTTTTTCCTCTCCATTGCGGGGTGAAAGCTAGTTTTTGTTATTTGTGTTTAATCCTCTTATCCAACTTTGACAAAAGTATATGATGTGTTATTTCTGTAGACTCTAGTGGTTGATTTTCAGATAGAATAGATGACCATTTTCTTGGCTAGAGCTAGAAAAAAGGGAGGGAAGGATAAAAGTCACTAAGCTATCTGGTGTGAACAAGCTGACTAGACCAAACCCAAGACCAAGGGCTGCTTTGTGTGGGTGCATCTTGCAGCAGTTCTGGAATGGCAGATGCCGTTGTCTTGGAAATTTCTTATATTTTCCCCTTTACTGCAATACATGAGCTGTTTGTCCTGTGCTTGAAAGATTCCCCACTCCAAAAATTGGCAAGAGGCAGAGTCTCACTGGTGAGCTCATGAGAACAATAAAGCTGTTCATATCCCCAAACAAGTCTCTCTCCCCTAAAAAAGCCTGAAACCCAAGTAAAATGTTTCGCAGTTTTGATTTGTTTCTTTCTCGTTTCTATAGCTTATTATAGTCAAATTGCAAAGAAGGACATCTATCTGAACAGTGGCTTAACCAGCACCAAGAACTATGGGAAGACCATCCTCACAAAGGTAGGAAAATATTCTCCTCTGCAGAGCATGAACGTTCGGTGTACGTGTGTCTGTGTTGGTGATGTGTGCCATGGGATTGTGACAAGCTTCCATGCTGTCTTAGAAACAAGCTACTGGCTTTCTGATTGAGTCAGATCCCTGGAGACAAGGATGTAGGTCTCCAAACCAAAATCATAGTTTTTGGGGAGTCGGGACTGGCTGGAATTGAAGATTGAGTTCTCTGGGGAGCAGTAATGAGGAAACATAGCTAGTGTCTAATAGGATCTGTAGTTATTAAAATATCAACAGGATTTTGATATCCAAAGATGAATTTAAATGTGTTTTGCATTAAAATAAACCCCCAAAAAACCAAAAACAAACCTCAACAGATTAAGCAAATATTATAAAGTAGACTTACAATAAAAATAAAATGAGTCTGCTCACTCAAAATAAGAAAAACTGATGTGTTTGCTATTATGTACATCTGCAGCTTGCAGATGGACGATTGTGTACTCTTGGTCTGTTCCATTTGCAAGGTAAAGCAGAGAAAGTAGTGCAGGCAAAGTAGGTGGTTTAGTTTGGACCTTTTAATGACATTTCTCTACTGATTTTTGTGTGTGTGTCTTGAATAAGTAGAGCAGAGAACGGTATAATAGGCAGGATTTATTACTGCTAATACTAAGCTTAATGTAAATTGATGTTGTGTGGATTTTTTTTTCGTACTTGCTGAGATAGTAAATGCATAAAGGCCTGAATATGAGCTTTGTCTCACTTGTAAAGATAGAGCGGTGCCTGTGTTTGCATCTACTAAATCTTTGCAGTTGGGCATATTTCTCTTTTGCTGACTTCTCAGCTGTGCTTTTCTGTAGCCTCATTATAAAGGGAATTCATAATTGATGTGTGGGCTAAAACTTGACACAGATGCCGTCAAGAAGCTAGAAAAAAAGACAGTGAAGCTTTGTGTGAGAGGGATGTTGACAAAGAGCTCTAGCCGTTGCCATGCTATTTGCATTTGTTGTTCAATCTCCTCGCTGGAGTTCTGCCTTGGATTACAAAGGAAATTAAGTTTGCCGTCTTCTCAGTGGCAGTCACAAAACTTGGGATGAGGCAGCGGGAGCATTATGGATTGGTTTCACAGGGAGTGTGTCGCACGTTGTCCACTTGGGTTTTGAAAGACAAAAAAAATCTGCTTAAAACCCTTTCCCAAATTAAACACGATGAAGCACAGGAGTGATCTCTGGGCAGTTCTTCTGTCTCTGGCTCTCGCGTTACCTGTGCCTACCCAGGGTGCTGGTGCTGCTCGTTGCAGCGCTTGGTCCTTCCTGTGCCTGCACAGCAGCAGAAATGACGGTTAGCTCGTCCAGCTTGCTTCTCTCTCTCAGGAACGGCTCGGTTCCTTGTGGTTAACTTTTATTTCTGTGCTAGTTTTATTTGTGGTTGCCACCTCGTGAGCTTGACACCATCTGCTGATCAAGGCGCTGCAGGGAGGCTGCAGTGAGGCGGAGCCGGTTTGAGATCCTCAGCAGAGGGAGTCCTGTCTTGCATAAACGATGTTGGAAAACCATCCCTGCTGGGCCACGTTTGTAGATGTCTTTCTTAGTAATCGTGCAGTAGAAGAGCTTATTCAGCACTCCTAATGTCATCATCCATTTAGAAGAAGTAATTCTAATGGCAAGATATGTTAAACAAGAGATTGACTAATCGTAGTAGCTGGTGTTTCCTTGGATTGTTTTTTGTTTCAACTTTTTATGCCTTCCAGCTATGTGAAAGCAAATTTTTGTATTTTAGGTATCTGCATTGCATTGAAAACAAGATTGAATCAATATTCTAGGACAGCATTTTGCCTTTAACAGTGGTTTAGTATTCAAACCGAGTCCTGGAACTTGCCTTTGGAAATGGACCATAATTTTACTTGCCTTCAATTCCTCATTTTAAAGAAAAAAAAAAAAGTTCATGGGGAAATTCCTCTCCATCTCAGTGTATCTTAGAATTACTGGTGGCCTGGAAGTAGCTGAGATCTTCTGTCTTTTCCTGCTCAGACTAATTTTTTTCAGCATTGCTTTTTTCGTGTTCAAAAAAGGAGGCTGACCTGGTTACGACGCATGAACTTGGACATAACTTTGGAGCAGAGCATGATCCTGATAGTCTGCCAGAATGTGCCCCCACTGAAGACCAGGGAGGGAAATACGTTATGTATCCAATTGCTGTCAGTGGAGATCATGAAAACAACAAGGTATGGTTGCACGGTTTTGCTTCCATGTACAAGTTTCTGCTGTGGTCAATGACCCTTGGCATGGAAAGTCTATTTAGTTAATGATTCCTGTAGCTTAAAACTGTCAGCAATGTAGTGGCGTAGCCATAAGAAGAAAACATACTTACGTGCTCTTGGGTTCTCTGCAAGATAAACTCATCTTTGGATTCTGAGTTTCACTGAAGTTCATAGCACATGCTTTTTTAATTTGTTGTTTGTAATGAGCTGTGGCCGCATGCTTCTAAAAGCAAGCCATCAGCAAGAGTCAAATAGAGGACCTTCAGTACCAAACAGCCTTTAGGTGGTCCATAGCTAGTCTTGTTGGAGAGACTGCCGGACGCCACAGCCGTGGTGTTTGCCAGTCTCAGAAGCTCGCACTGGCAGCGCAGACTTGGCGTTGTGCCTGTTCTGCAGATGAGGAGCCAAGATTATCAAGGGAAAGATTAATCTGCAGTCTAGTCTGACTTGTTGTGGCTCACGCTGTGACTTGCTGCTGAGGCGCAGTGCAGACTCTCCCTGTTGCTACAACTTTGCAGCCTTTCCTGGGGATGGTTGCTAGTGGTCCTGAAGCCATGGGAGAGCTGGAGTTGGCTCTGGGACCCTGAGCCAGACTGCGTGTGGGGGTCCCTGCATTGTAATGTAGCAAGGTCCTTTATGGAGCCAACCGTTACTTTCCCATCTTAAAATTTTTCCAAGGTATCAAACTGACAGTATAGAGGGAATAACTGCTTTTTGAAACACCTGAATTTGGAGGCATAAGGAGGCTGAGACTGTCTTACACGCCGCTTGTTGACAGAAAGGTACGCTCCTC